GGTAGATAAGGGTCTTGCTCAAAGGAGCTTACAGTCTAGATGAGATGGGGTACAAATACACAACAGTGCAGCAAGGGTGACAGCCATCAAACAAGTTGGAAATGTAGCATAACTGGAGGTGAGAGGTGGGTATGGCTCTTTAGGAGAGCAAGAGAACGATATGGATAGGTATAGATAAGTTACTCTGGGAGTCCATAAGAATTTCTGAACAGATGTGTTTTGAGGGACTTTTTAAACAATTGAAGACTAGGGGAGAGTCTTATGGTGGTAGGCAGGCTGTTCCAAATTACGGGAGCTGCCAGCGAGAAATCCTGCAAGCGCAAGTTAGCAGTAAGGGTGCGAGCAGCGGACAGGAGGTCACCGGCAGAGTGGAGAGACCGAGAAGGGACATATCTATGAATCAAGAAAGAAATGTAAGAGGGGCTAGAGCTTTATAGGTAAGGGTTGGTATTTTGAATTGACACCTATAGGATACAGGAAGCCAGTGTAAGGATCGACAGAGGGGGCGAGGTATGGGAGGAGCGACGGGTGAGACAGATAAGCCTGACTGCAGCATTCACTACTGACTGTATAATTCTTTCCTATAGGCTCTCAACCCATCATGATCTTTTAACTTGCTGACTTAATAACTGGTTTAAAAAATGTATGCCAAAACATTGTTATTCTACTATTTACAATTTAGCCTACTCAAAGTCAGCTAGCAGCTCACACCTCACTATATAGTGACTAGATCTCTGTCATGTTTTGCTTTCAAATGTTGTCTGCATAAACCACATGAATCTGGAAATTGTGCATTTAGGCCCAGATAGCTTAACTGGAGAATTATAACAAGTGAGGTATTTTGGGATGTACATAAATAAATCCAGAATGCATGAGTTGTAATAATTCCAGAACGCTTGTGTTCTAAATATTCCAGAATGAGTGTGTTCTAAATATTCCACAATACTTGTGTTGTACTAATTTAAGAATGTTTGTGTTTTAAATTTTCCAGAATGCTTGTGCTGTAATAATTCCAGAATGCTTGTGTTCTAAAGATTCCAGAATACTTGTGTTGTAATAGTTTAAGAATGTTTGCATTGTAATAATTCCAGAATGATTGTGCTGTAATAATTCCAGAATGCTTGTGTTCTAAAGATTCCAGAATACTTGTGTTGTAATAGTTTAAGAATGAGTGTGTTGTAATAATTCCAGAATGCTTGTGTTATAAAGGTTGCAGAATGAGTGTGTTCTAAATTTTCCAGAATACTTGTGTTGTAATAGTTTAAGAATGTAATGTGTTGCAATAATTCCAGAATGCTTGTGTTCTAAAGATTTCATAATGAGTGTGTTCCAAATATTCCAGAATACTTGTGTTGTAATGATTTAAGAATGTTTGTGTTGAAATAATTCCAGAATGCTTGTGTTCTAAAGATTTCATAATGAGTGTGTTATAAATATTCCAGAATACTTGTGTTGTAATAGTTTAAGAATGAGTGTGTTGTAATAATTCCAGAATGCTTGTGTTCTAAAGGTTGCAGAATGAGTGTGTTCTAAATATTCCAGAATACTTGTGTTGTAATAGTTTAAGAATGTTTGTGTTGTAATAATTCCAGAATGCTTGTGTTCTTAAGATTCCATAATGAGTGTGTTCCAAATATTCCAGAATGCTTGTGTTCTTAAGATTCCAGAATGAGTGTGTTATAAATATTCCAGAATACTTGTGTAATAATTTAAGAATGTTTGTGCTTTACTAATTTAAGAAATCTTGTATGGTAGTAATACCAGAATACTTGTGATGTGTGTACACTTATCAAGAAGAACAAAAACAATCTTTATTGGCAACTGAAAGTCTCATATGATTGGAGAACATTTGATGAACATTGTAATGAAAAAAACTTTTTTTCCAGAGGTACCAGTGCTTTCTAAATATAATTCTACCAAACTAACATATGTGTTAGGGCTATTCACTAAATTGGGACTTTATCATGGTATGACAAGATTCTCCAAACCTTCAGATCTAGGTGTTTTTACTTTTTTTTTTTTTCAGGTCTATTAATCTTTTAAGGACCAAGTTACATTTGTGAAAGAAAAAAGTGAACTTAGTGGATCGTACTACCACCAAAAGATCACTCAGTGGAGCGCTAAATATCAAATTCTTACCCCTATTGGAATAACGTATATATCACTTTAAGGGGCAGACAGCATAATAAAATCTACAACAAGAAAATACACATCATGGTGCAGTATGCTTGTAAGGTGTGAATGGAGTGGAAGAAGATGTATGTCCAACTCACATGGTAAAGAGCCTGGAGATTGGCTCAAATCACAACAGCTGAGGTATGTTTGGTAATACCAGACCTTCTCCAGATATACAGCTCACAACATATGTGGATAAAAAAGGACAAAAATCCTAGTGCAAGTATGTTTAAAATAAACAAGTGGTCACATATAACAGTGCATGAATGTGCTCACCTGGAATAGAGCCAATTGTACTAGGCTCTATGTATAAGCGTGTGGTGCCTTTAAGGGAGGCACTACCCTTCTTTAGAAAATGCAGGAAGCAGTTGAAGATCCACTACCAGATGTATAAGGTAAAAGTAACAATTTATTAAAAAAAAAAAAAAACAATTAAGCAAAGTAAAACTGTATATACAGATACCAAAAAGTAAAAGTCTCTGGGGTGGTCTTCCTTGGAGTTCCGAGACGCATTTTCGCCGTGGGGCTTTCTCAATCGGATGACAAGTTACATTTGCCTGTTTTTTACTTAAGGACTAAAACTAATTTTGCATTTTTTTTCTGTTTGTGTTCAGCAGCAATCTCCATCTTTGTATTGCACCGACACATATTATAAACTGTTTTTTAAAGGAGAAATAGGGATTTAATTTGATGTGACCTATACATACATATTTGTATGTGGTGACTAGTAGTTTGATAGTTTAAATCACCCCATGAAGACATACCATTTACAAAAGTAGTCACTCCAGGGAATCTCATATGGTGTATATTATATCAAAAATTTCTCAAATGTATTGTAAAAAATAAATGTTTTTTTAATTCTTTACCCAGTTTTGCAATAATAATGTGTGAAAACCTAGTGCAGCTTACGAAAAGTAATTCAAAATAAATACATTTATTTGTCCTCATTTACAGAGTACATCATATGTCTAGGATTTTCATTTATTTTTGGTAGTTACAGGTCCCAGAATACAAGGAGTAAAATAAAATCTGTAACAATTTTAGAATTAGATATGTTGATGTTTTATTGTAATAGTAATGAAAACAAAATTGATACACAAAAGTATATATTTATATCAAATATACATCTCAGGCCATTTACCTAAGGGTATTCTTACTGTATGTGTGTAATATTTAGCAGAGACTGTCAGTTAAATGTAAAACAGGGAGGGGTGCAAAACCAAGGAGTTGGCTAGACTCCCAAATATATATATTTATATACATGAAATATGGGGGTGGGGAACTTTAAAAAAAATTAAAATAAAATCTGTCAACATTGAAGTTGCTGTTTAGGAGAGTGCGCTGGATTTTGTGTACTGTTTATTGTATAATATGGTCCCCAGCAGCACCCCATTTAAGCAAGTTCAGGTGAGTGCAACCAGCCCCACCTCCCTCCCCCCCATGTTTCATATATAAACAAAATGTAAATCTATAATTGGAAACGCCTTAAAACAATCTTGAAATGTTTTACATTTTAGCACAAATTGCAGTTTATTGAGCTCTAGTGAGTAAAATGAGTGGTTTTCCTAACTCAGGTAGCGTTATAAACACCCCTCCTTTATTTGTTTAATTTTTTTAAAAACATATGCCAAAAATTGCTTGTAAATTAAAATAAGAGGAGGCGAAATATCCTAAGCTAAGATACATCAATCAGTTATGTCAGTTCTGATTTTTTTTTTTATATTGTTTTATTATGAGCAGCATGCCTTTTACTATATCACAAGAACATGCGTGCGGGGTGTGTAAAGAGTCAGGCCAATAAATGACAGTGAAAACCTTTTATTGGTTTAAAACCTTTAAACGACTTCCATATTTTTGCCGACAAAGGCAAAGTGGAACTACATAAAAAATTCCTTACCCAGACAATGTTATCTGACTTTTTTTTTGTAGTACAACCAAAGTTGATAGTGTTACTTAATTGCCTGTAATTCATTTTATTACTAGCAAATTATTAACCATGCTCAACTAATGTCAGTCAGTTGTTTCAGAGGACATCCATAATATAAGATCCTTTGTGTCACAAAGAAATATTTCACACATTGCTTTGTTTTGTGTGTGTGTGTGTGTATGGTGTCGTCTGTGTTTAGTGGAATTTGTAACTATAGTATGAATTTATTACATTTTATCAAATTCTAAATTGTTTTTTTGTGGCTCTACATACAGGGTTATTCAATAAAGTGAGCATTGTTGAGAATTTAAAGTCAATTCAAAGTGAATATCAAATTTAAGACCAAGGTAACTAAAAAAGTTAAATTCTTCCAGTCAGCCAAGCTTCCAGTTTAGCTACTAACCTTAAATTTGAAACTCACAACAATTCTTACTTTAGTGAGACTTATCCCTGTTAGTTTGTGTCAGCTGATTTTATGGTTACTGCAATAAAAAGCTATTTTTATGAAAAACTAGACCGAGTATAGGAAAATGTGTATGCACTCTCCTTGGGCGTATCCACATTTTTGTATGACTACAACTTGGAGTTAAAATGGATTTTATTGTGAACTTTACTATATGATTTACACAACATATCTAAAACTTTAAAGGTGAAAAATATATTTTTATTGTGATACAAACATAAATGAACCCATTCACAAGCACATTTTGTTGCAAAAATAATAACATGGTGTTTATATGAATTATGAGATGCGCAGCAAGCACGTAAATGTGAACTAAATTTTTATTAGTAGGTACTGATAACATTTGTAGCAATGCAGCAAAATGTAAAAAGAATGTCTGTTGATATAATGCCCGGATATAAAAGTACAGTTGCACTAACATATTGTTCTATAAGAAGAGTTTCAAGATCAAATAATTTTCAACAGTGGCGTACTAAGGGGGCATGGGGGGTGGAAGCCGCAGAACTTCAAAACCGGCCGCATCTAAGAAAACTGGTGGTGGGGCTAATCAGCAGCAGGGCAAAGCCAAACCAGCAGCAGGGGCAGAGCTAAACATTGCCACCACCCACTGCTGCACATCTAGCAGGATGGAGTCCCTGATTCCCAAACTGACAGCCTCCACGGACCTCAGTGACTCCACTACTCCTCCAGCCCATAAGTTCAGTAAGTTAGAGAGAGGGAGAGAGTGTGTGTCTGCCTGTGACTCTGTGTGTGTGTGTGTGTGTGTGTGTGTGGCCGAATGGGTCTTATCTGCCGTTACATTCTATGTTTTTATGTGTGACTGTCTGCCTGTGAGTTTGTGTGTCTATCTGCCTGTGACTGTGTGTGTGTGACTGTCTGCCTGTAACTCTGTGTGTGCATGTGTGTGTTTGTGACTGCCTGCCTGTAACTGTGTGTGTGTGACTGTCTTCCTATGACTGTCTGCCTGTGACTGTGTGTATGTGTGTCTGCGTGACTGTCTGCCTGTGCCTCTGTGTGAGTGCCTGCCTGCCTGTAACTGTGTGTGAATGTCTGCCTGTGACTGTGTGTGTGTATGTGTGTAATTGTCTGCCTGTGAGTCTGTCTGTGAGTGCCTGCTTGTGACTGTCTGTGTGTGACAGTGTGCCTGTGATTGGGGAATGCTGCCTGTAACAGTTTGTGTGACTGTCTGCCTCTAACTGTGTGTGTAAGGGGCTGAGCAGGGGCTCTGGAGGGACAGGCAGGTTTTTTTGGGTAAGCGGGGGTGCAAAAGGTTTTATGGAAGGTGGTGCAGGGGTTTGTAGAAGGGGGGCAGGGATTTTGTTTAAACGGGGTTGAGCAGGGGTTTTGTAGAACAGGGGCAGGACATGAGTTTTGTAGAACGGCGGGCAGGAGAGAGGTTTTGTAGAAGCTCTAGGTACGCCCCTGATTTTCAAATATATTCTGTGTCAATTAACATTGGCACCTCTCACACTTCCCCACATTGCAGACTGAGGGGATTTAGTATTAAAGTATCTTAATTACAACATCTTTTTTTTTGTGGGAGTAGGAAAGATTGGCCTGTTACGTTCATTTCCCTCCTACACCAGCATGCTGTGTGTGCATGTTGCACAGGATTGATATTAGCCACTTGGAACACTTGTTCTGGTCTAGCTATTGATGCCCTAATGATGCCGCTTCCGGAGGTAGAGTTACACCTTCAACGGCACATTGGTTAAACTCTGCATGTGCAGCATGGTGCTTGGAGTAACCCTTTAAAGATTAATATGTATGGAAAAATAGTGACAAATTAAATTTTTCTTGAAATTTTGCATATAATGGTGATGAAAGTCATAAGACTCAAAATGACCAATTTTAATTAGCTCAACTTGTCTTACCCATGGGTAGGGTAAAGTGCAAATGGAGGCTACTATTTTGTATCAAATCAGACATGGGTTCAGTAAATAAATCAGTTCAAATTTATCTCGGTATGTTTGTAATTTTACCCCATAACTTTGGCAAATGCCTTCATGTTGAACATTACAGTACTTCAGGGAAGTAGCAGGATATAAATCTGGTGGTTTTACAGTAGTGGGACATACATTTGTTGAAAGGTTTACATTTGGGTTATTGCTATATTTGGGTTATTACTATACTTGGAGTCAGTAGCAGAAAACAAATTTTATAGAAGTGGGTAGTAAAATCCTCCATGAAAATAAAACATGTTTGAAAAACACAGAAAAATTAAATAAAACCATTATATTTTACAGAGGCTGCTAAAAATGGTTAAATAACAAGTAAAAATAAATTATCTTTTTTGGTGGGGTCTTCTTTCTAGAAATATATAATATGTATGTGTGCACTTAATGGTAAAGCGGAAAAGTACAGTGAAACAAACAATTAGTAGACGTTTTAAAAATGCACGTACTCTCTGCAAAAGCTTCAGTCATTGAGAAGTTCATTAATTTTGGGGCTTAATAAACACACCTTGTACCTTCAATGTTTTTGATATGCTGTGTTAATAGAAAATAAAAAAATAAAAATTCACTATGCCACTACGTTGGCATATATTCGCACCAGTTATCCATGGTAGAGATGGCATTTTGTTTTTAATGTCTTGATTAATTTTAATCAAAAAAACTAATTTTAAAAATCAGCTATGCAAAATCTTACATCTTTACAACCTTCTCTTTTCTTCTCCAAAGTGAAATGATTAACTTCTTCAAGACATCTCACTTTTAATCTTCTCCATGGAGGGGCAAATTCTATAATGTTTGTGCAAAGGAAATATGCAATTAGCTCACATAATTACTCAATCATATAATTAGCCAGGATTATGCACGTTGAAAAGAAATTCAAAAAAGCTACGGAAGTATAACAAAGCTTATCAAAATGAGACAATGTCAGTTTAGCACAAGTCATTTCATCTAGATTGAATTTTACGGTCTTTTAATAATAGAGGTTTTTTTTCCCAATTGACATAGTTTACTTTTAAATACATAATTGAAAAACGCCTAAAAGTGTTGATATTTTTTACGTACGTTTATAATGAGATCATACAAATTTGAGGGAATTCTTTAAAATTAATATTAAAAAAAATATTAAGGGGCGTGGCTTAACGCTCGGCGCGAACGGACGCATGTGAGGCGAGCTCCGTTCTGTTTTGGCCTAAACAGCGACATTACCAGCGACAGTGACCAGCACTAACCTCCAAACCAAGCCTCAAGCATGGCACAACCCAAAGGGAAGAAGATCCCCGACAAAGCCGAAAAAAACGCTTTTTTCTCCGCCCGCAATCCGCCACCTAAGGCCCAAGGCACAGGAGAGTACAGCCAAGATGGCGACGACACGCTGCCGCTGCAGGAATCCCCTGGGGGAAGAGATTTGCCGGTCACACAGAACATACTCCAGGCTTGCCTAGGAGAAATGTCTGACAAACTTCTACACAGCCTCAACAAGTCCATCTCAGACCTGAGAAGGGACGTGCAGGAGCTGGGTGATAGAACAGCCCGCATGGAGAACCGCATGGGCGAGTATGCAGACGCACACAATGACATGGCAGACCATGTCCACAACCTGGAACAGGCGCTGGAATCCTGCCAATATAAAATCATGGACCTAGAAGATAGGTCAAGGAGACAGAATATACGGATCAGGGGGATCCCTGAGACGGTGAAGCAGCCCGAAATAGCGGCATACCTCACGGCTTACTTCAAAACATTAGCCCCAGACCTCCCAGCAGATGTCTTGCTCTTGGACAGGGCGCACAGAGTCGCTAAACCAAGCTTCCTCCCAGCTGAAGCGCCAAGGGATGTACTGACGCACCTCCACTATTATCATGCGAAAGAAGCACTGATGAGAGCGTCCAGGCTCCGCAAAGACCTTCCAGCCCAATACAACACCATTCAACTATATGCAGATCTCTCTGCCCAGACCTTGAAAAAAAGAAAGGAGTATAAAGAAATAACCGATGCCCTCCGTTCCCATGAGGTGCCCTACCGCTGGGGCCACCCAGTGCGTCTCCTCATACATAAAAATGGAGCTATGCACGTTATCACCTCTCTGGCGGATGGACGGAAAACACTGCAGAAATGGGGTATACAACCCCAGAACCAAGCAAGAAGCGACAACGACCCACAACCGAGTAAGCTTACAGCCGACTGGAAAAGAGTACGTAACTAAAGCCCTGAGGCCCTGACGGAGGAGCACACACTTGCAACACATTCAGCAGCAAAGATGGCGTGAGATGCCATACGCTACCTCCAATAACCACGACTAACAGAAGCGGGACTGTTTAAAGGCCACGAAGAAGGACTATTGATTTCAAGCAGGTGACTATGGCACTATAACTCCCCATGCTGCCCTTGCAACACTGGCAGCGCCCCATGCGTCAACAAAACACATTCACTTGCAACACACACACTGCATGCACACTGGAGGCTAACAACACACAACACGTGCCAATCTCAGGGACAATAAAGCGACACAAAATGACACACTACGCTGCCACGGGAACTTTTAGAGCCGTAGGCTCAGGCAGAAGCACACTCACAGCTGCAGCCTGCGGGGAGGCAAACAGCCTCAGCATCCTTGGAAGCAATCACCAGAAGGCTGCAGGGGACCCCCCCAGAGGATGACGCAACACAGCTCAGGGGAAGTCGCCACGCTCGGGGGAGCTGGGGCAGCGGGAAGGCACCATGGGGAAGGGTAATTGTGAATATGATTTAATGCATTGTACACGCCTTGAATATCTGAACAATTTGTGGGACACAGTTGCAAGTCTAGCTCACATGAGAATAGGACAACCCCATTCAGAGCGGGGGGGAGCGGGGGGAGCGGGGAGGCATCACGGAGAATGGTAATATTGTTCCAAGTGTCACAATGGGATTGTTTCAGGCATTGAATAATGTATGAGGCATAGTTGCCAATTCAGAGTATATGTGAATGGGACAGCCCGTTCAGGGCCCGGAGGGAGCGGGATTGTACCACGGGAGACGATAATGGTGCCTCTTATGTATTGCAATATGTTTGGTTTGGATGTTTGCATAATATGTGGGGGACAGTTGCAAATCAAGCGTATAGGCCAATGGGATAGCCCCGACACATACAACGCCCTCCCCTCCACGAGGCCCCCAAGGAGAAGTAACTCCACCGGGGGACAGAAGAGGCGCCCACTGAACCGCCCCGCCACAACTAGACCATAGCGTGACCCTCCCGACCTCCTACACACCTTAGGCGACCGAGCCAATGCGTCACGCCAGGTAGCAACCACAGTCATGTACCGCCAACCTATGCCCCCTACTGTCCTGGACCCCCCCCCCGTCGGCAAGAGCCCCAAGCTGAAACTTAACACAATACAAAAAAAAAAAAAACCCAATGTTGAAGCATGCAGCGTGAACCCAAGGGACAACCGCAGCCCCAAGTTACTGTACCCTACCGCAAAGTCGACAGCCGCAAAGAGGCACCCCACTGGCCAACCGCCGGTCACAACGGACTGACACAGGCCAATCTTCCTACTGTTCTTTTCTTCACACCAACCACGCTCTCATGGTACCGCTAGCCGGAACCAAAGCCCGCCAAAGGGCTATAGTTTTTACCCCCCCCAAGTTCATACCCTCACAGTATGACCCCCCTACTCCCTTCCCCCCCTCTCCCCCCTCGACACTACT